CACCGGGTGTTGGAAGAATGTGGTCTTAACAATTATAGAACTTCTCCCATTTTCTTACAGGCTGTCACTTGGTAGCTCCTCTAGCTCTTAGCTGCTGCCCTCAGGTTCCTGCCATATGGCCCTCTTCTTGACTCCTGACAACAGAGCATCTTAATTTGAAGGGTTGGTGAGAGACCACCTCTTCAGGAACAGTTCAGTCCTCCTTTAAGAGTTTTCACTAATTAAGTTAGGCCCACCCAGCATAATCTTCCTATTGAAAATCTTTGTCATATGCTTTAACCTAAAGTCATGGGAATAAAATCTCTTCACAGTCCTGTCCACACACAAAAGGAGGGACAATACAGGCAAGATATAGTAGAGATGAGAATCCTGGATAATATGCTTAAGCAGTCTGCCTACCCCATGTGCAGAGTCTATAAAAAAATGTATGTACACTTAAGGAAAAGACAAACTTTAATACTAAATTTATTGAGACATCATGAGATTAATACAAGTTACTTTTGGCCTCTACAGTTACAAGAAGTGCTTAAAATGATGGCCATTAACTTCTAGACATTTGTTAGTGCATCAACCTGCTGCTTGGGTAACCTTGGTCATTGAGATTGCTGCATATGCATTTTCAGTTTCTTCTCTTAAGGGCTGGCACTGTAGTGGGTTTTCTGTGATGTATGACATCCTGTAGGGGTTCCTCCCCCATTTGAAGATAACACCATCTGTTGGAAAAAAAAGTCAAGACTATTTTTCTTTTCCTGAAGTGTGTATACATTTTTTGGATGTACTCTGTATACATATACAAATAAAATTATTTTATCTTACAGTGGGAAAGGGTGGCTTGTTTTTTAAAGCCCATTTAACAGTTCCTTCACTCAGGATTTGAATATAGCATTCTATCACTGTATTATTTGTCTTCCCTTGTGTAAGCAAAGGGAGCTTCTGACCAAAGGAAACTATTGTGAGAAAAGAATATGCTTGAAAATTATTAACTTACAGCCACAGGGACCAGAATTGCCAGGTTTTTGTTGAGAGGACATCTGACCCCTTGAGATCTGTTTTTCCAAGAAGTTCTTTGTGCTAGAAATTAGTAAGACTCTGGGTATGATTATTGAAGGCAGAATGCCTTATTAAAACTGACTACAAAAGTTACTGGGTAACTTAAAAGTGTAAGAGGATTGTAGAAAGATTACTAAACCTACATGAAGGACCAGACATTTCAGGAAAATTGCTATAAAGTGGTGAAAAGTGTTCCTTAGATTGAGAAGTTGGGAGTATGAAATACACCTTTCTATAAAATCTTACTCTTACCCTTAGATCAACTCAGGGCTCCTTCCTGTGTGCTAGTTTTTGCCCATGTTACAACATTTGAATATTATGCTGCATATATATGGAATTGAATACAGGGCTGTATCCATGCTAGGTATCCATGCTATATCCATCTAGCATCCTAAGCTTACTTTATTTGGAGACAGGGTCTGACCAGTCAGTCTGGCCTCTAACCCACAGTTCTTTTGGTTCAGCCTTTTGAGTAGCTGAGATTAACAGCATGTGACACTGCCTGGTTTTTGTTTTTTCTTTTTAGAATAAGCTTGATGAAGGTGGAATACATATTTTATCTTTATATCTTCTTTCCTTATATAACTCTTGGCTTGTAGGAGGCAATGAGTAAATATTCCTAATCTAGCGACATATGCTACTTCATAATGGCAAAAGATATTAACACATTCATGTTTGTAGTACAAAAACAAGTTTTAGCTTACCTCCAAAGCATTTTGTGTAAAGAACACATTCTGAAGTTCTGCCTTCAAGTGTTTTGCTATAATTCCTGGGGGGATCTTTGGAAGTAGTTTTATTTTTATCAGTGGGCATAGTTATCTGTAGTTATCGCAGTTAACCAGAAACAGTTGAAAAAGTTCTTAAGGATTATTACAACAAGGATACTAATAGTTAGCATTCAGCTAGGATTCAACCAAATCCTATCACAAATTGAGCCTCCCTAAAACAAAAATTGAAGATTCGAAATACTCTGAAAATCTGAAACCTTTTGAGCACTGAGTGATACTCATGGAAAAATTCATGCCATGGAGCTCTGTTTCATGCACAAATTATTTAAAATATATAAAATTACCTTCGGTAAAAAAAAAAATGATAGCATATGTCTATAATCCTAGCACTTGAAGAGGCTAAGGCAGGAGGATCACAAGCTTGAGCCCAGCCTAGTGATTTATTGAGAACCAGTGAGTACCGGTCTCAAAATTTTCGGAAAGGAATAGGGAGGTAGCTTGGGGCCCTGGGTTCAATCTCTACTATCTCTAAATAGGTAGCACTACCTTTTTCTTTGGCTTCTTTTTGTCCATCTTGCCATGCTGAACATTTTGCAGTTTCCTGACCACACACCACTTTTTCTTGTCAGTTACCTGTTCATAGAACCTAGTCCTGCCTAATGTTATAAATTGCAGTGATTTACTTTTTTTTAACATTTTTTTCTTTTTATTGAATTTATTGGTACAATCTAGGTATACAATACAATTACATTCATCATTGGGATTCTGTACCTTTACATAATAGGTCTTGAGTCTCATTTTTTCCCCTTGTCCCTGCCCTCCCTTCACCCCCTCCTACCCTCCCCATTTACAAACACTTTATTTCCATTTTTTCAGTTTCTCATATTTTTTTCTTCTCCCTTATTACCTTTCCCCCACCCTTCCCACTTTCCCTACACCTTTAGCCCTTTACTTCCTATTTCACGTTATTAATTATCTCATTAGGATCCTGTGTACTATAGTTTTTCACACCAAAGAAACTATTCGGTATTTCAGTTAAATCTCTGTATGAACATTAAAAATAGGGAATCCTAAAATAAAACTAAAGAGGAAAGTAAAAGAGAAAAGACAATGATGTAAGATTAAAATAATCCTTAATTCTGAAGATGAAAATGGTCCCTGAGCATATTTAAATCGCTTCTCGCTCTTATAGTCTTATCTTATTCTTTTTTTTCATTATTTAGAGAATACTTTATTAGTTTCTGTAATCAAACCCATGTAGATATGACTTTACATATTTAGTACGATGTGTTACCCCTGTACACATGGAAAAAAAAAAAATTAACATTTCTAGACCAATATGGTTGTCCATTTCTGTACAATGCCAAGTCAACACAGTAAATTGGGATGGCTTTTTCCAAAGTTGGCAGCACCGTTAAAGTTTCCCAAAATTCAATTTATATGTGTGTGTGTGTATATATATAAAAAGCCTGATAATAGCAGTATGTTATGCATCGATAGCAGCAACAGCTTTTCCAGGTTCTGCAGTCATCTGAACAAAATTATAGACATTCAGCACATTCCATTAAAAAAATAAAGAAAAGAATAATATCCAGAAAACAGCAAAGTTCTGTTGCTGTTGTGGTACCTGGCACCATTTTTTCTATTAGCATCTACTCATCATCTGGAAATTCTCTTTCTAGAGAAATTCTAGAGCAGTATCATTAAATGTAGCTCTGATAAAGCACGGTCCCTACTATGTATCATAAAGCAGGTACTAGATATTTTACATTCATAGAGGTATGATACAGTACCGTCCTACATCAATAATACTAGATTCAGTTTTGGTTTGAAATTTACTTTGTCTGCAAATAAGATTGCTGCCCCTGTTTTTTTTCTGGGCTCCTGTCACATGGAGAATTGTTTTCTATCTTTTCACTTTCAGTCTATGGGCTTCTTTTTGCACTAGGTGTGTTTCTTGTATACAACAAATTGTTGGATTTTGCTTCTTATTCCATTCTCAAGAGAGTCTATGTCTCTTGATTGGTGAGTTGAGGCCATTGACATTGCTGGTTATAACTGATATGTACTGACTTATTATTGACATGTTATTGGCCTTTTGTTGTGCAGTGATTTACTTTTCTTCCCCCCCCCCTTTTTTTGGTTATACCATATACTTCTTAAAGGTAGAAAACCATGCCTTTTTGGTTTGGTGCTTGTCGTCAAAATAGACAAAGACTGAATGAATGAGGCAGTGAAATTCTTAAAAACAAAACAGTGTTAAATTGCATGATTATATAATAAGCAAGTCACTAAACCTCAGTTCCCAAGGAGAATTTCTCTTTAGCAATGTAGTGGAACAGGGGATATGCATGATTTGTTTTGTTTTGTGCTGGGGATTGTACCCAGGTGCTCTCTACCAGTTCTTTTTATGTGAGGAAGGCTCTTTAAATTGCCCAGGCTAGTCTTGAATTTAATCCTCCTGCCTCAGCCTCCCAAACAGCTGGAATTGCAGGCATGTGCCACCATTCCCGGCTATGTAATGTACATGGTTTTTAAAATACTGAATTAAGTATATTTACTATTTACCTATGAGTTTAAAGAGGATTAACACAGTCAAGTCAGATGTTTAAAGATGCAGTCATTTACTGCTTATGATCGTGTCCCTTTTTTTTAGATCACTAGACTTATATTGAGTAAAGATATCTGTTATTAAACGTAAGATTACTATATGCCACATAATGTGCAGTCATACATATGCTAGTTATACAACTTTTGCCAAAAATATCGTTATATTTCTTATTTTTCTTTGCATGACCATTTGAAAGATTAAAAGTAGAATGAGAAAAAAATATTAATTTTAGTTTAGGCAAACACTCAATCATTCTGTTCTTAAGATAGGTGATTTTACCCCAAGTTTTCTTAATATAAAGTCTGACTTTTCGGATTTCAGAATTAACACTAATGGAGAAAGTGTCAGTAGGTATTTGGGAAAAAGAAGGACTTAATATTCTTAAGCTGTACCATTTTGTCCAAAAGTTTTTGTAAGAAAGATCTGTTGCCAGAGACAACCTATGCCATTCTTATGTTTTGATGCTTAGAGTTAATTTTTAATTTATTTCCAGTCTCTGATAATCAGAATCATCAAAAACTAGAAAATCCAGACTGTCCTTCATAGGCATGATTCTCCATATTGGTGCGGCTAGCCATGAACTATCCTTTTCTTCTCCCTCTTTTTCTCAGATATCTCCCGGGGCCAATTCAGCACCTCTACCTGGCCATCCTCCTAACAAGGTGATTTGTGAAAGGGTGAGACTTCAGAGCCTGTTCCCTCTCCTCCCAAGTGATCAGAACACTACCGTTCAAGAGGATGCTCACTTCAAAGCTTTCTTCCAGGTTCTTATATATTTACCCTTTCCCTACACAGGGCTAAACGTCACAGATACATTCTAGCTTGTTTCTAGGAAGGCTTGAAACAGAATTCTTGGTATCATCTTCTTGTTTTATATTGCATGTGGAAATAAGTTTTCGTCTTAGAGGATATCCTCAATAAAACTTTCAGCTACCTGTTCTGAAGAATGTTTTTCTTCTCTTGAGCTACTGTTAATTATTTGACCACTTAATATTCTTGCTTTTCTGTGTTTTTGGCCTTAATCACTTGTCCTAATAAGCTAAGTCTATTAGGAAGGTAGAATATATGAAGTGTGTTTGAGATGTTTTTTAAAAATCTTCACTACATGATTAGTGCCTAAAGTTTTATAATTTACATATATTTCTGAGAGAAGATAGGATTATTTACCTTCTGTGTCTTTTGGTATCTGTAGAAAAAATGTGATTAATTTTTTAAAAATATAAGGTGAAAAGAAGAAAAGAGATATAAATAGATTAAATTTGTCATTAGGTTATTAATTAGGTTATTAAATATAATAAGATTATTATGATTTACTCACATAAATCATTGACTACTAGACTTTCAATCCATACTTCTAGAGAAATGTGTTTTTAGTAAAAGAAGTGTTATTTTCACAAAAGAACCGAATTACAGGATTGCTTCGGGAAGGGAGGTTTGTGGGCTAAGGCATGTTATTTGTACTTACACAAACCTGACATAGTTTTAAAATAGTTTATAACCAAGTCTGAGACGTTTGGATAGAGGCAGCTCATTTTCTCTTCATGTAGGAGTAACTTGTTGGGGCTCGGAACTAATTTGAAAGAGAGATGCTTGTGACACATTAAGTTGGGCGTGTGAAATTTCTAAGGATAGCTATGTAGGTGATCCAGGGTGCTTCAGTCTGGCATTCCTTGTTGGAATTTGTGCTAGGTTCTCTGCTTTGCATATATTGTCTTTTTGTTTTTAAACTCACAGTAAACTGCTCATCTAGTTGAGGAAATCGGCTTCAGAAACTTACTGAGATTCCCAGCACCTAGTTATTGGCAGAGCAGAGACACATCCTGCTTTAACTGTATGTTGTGCTCTGTATTATACTACCTGTAGATACCAACAGATATTTATGTAAGCACAGTGCAGGGTGTGTTGAGGCATAGTTATTGGTATTGAATTGAATGGCATATTAACTACCATTTTGATTACAGCATCATCTACAGTAGCTTGAATGTTAGTAGATGGACAATAGCTGAGGAAGAAATTAACTTTATCTTTACTGCTGCTACCAGTAGTTATTTTTACATTTTCTATGTTCTCCATATTTCCTTTCCATTCAGGTATTGTGGTTTGAGTTTTTTTGGTGCTGCAGTTGAACTCAGGGCCTCACACATGCTGCTGCTAAACTTATTATACCTACAGTCTCCCTACCTTCTGCTGAAAAGTGAAAAGTAATCACTTTTCAGCCTTTTGGCTAAGATCAAGTGAAAAGTGAAAAATGCATATTATTAAATTTTTATTTATAGTGCTAATTTAACAAATCATTCCTTTTTAGGCTGTGAAAAAGGTCCAAAGGTACTTCCTACTAAGGATGACCAGAGGTTTTCTTGCTTAATTACTCTCCTACCACTTGTTTGCATAAAATAAAATAGATCTTTTTCACAGTCCTTTAAAATAGTGGTAGCTCAACTAATTCTGATACCGGAATTATTTGTTAGTTCTATCTATGCTTCTTATCCTTAAAACCTACTGGGGTACCATGAAAGGGGTAACCTTCCCAGCCATCTTCTTTGCCCACTAAGTTATTCCTTTAACATTGTGTACTGTTCTTCTTGGCTTTATTTTAGGTTCCTTCCTTCCAACTTTATCCTTTTCCTTCCCTTTGGAATAATAAGCCTTCTGAAAACACCTACCTGCCTCTTTCATTTTTTCCCCCCTTAAAGCGTCATCTTTACTTTCTTATCCTAGACAACTCCTCCTTTCTTCTGAGGATATTACTTTCCCTGCAGCCTTCTCTATAGGTAAATAAATTAGTTTTTTGTTTTTTGATTTTTTTTTTTCCTCTCTGCTGCACTCGTGGGGTTAGATGTATGGCTCATGAATACAGCGATCATAGAGAGGAGAAAGACTTGATCTTTTCCTGGGCCCTTGCTGTTGTTTCTGAACAGCAGTGTTCTTACTGAACAAAAAGGTCATCCTATTTTGAGCTCTCTTTTGTTATTCATCCCTGTTATTTACCAGTTTTGTTACTGTCCTTGTCAAAATTTTTTATATTTTGTTTCTATTTTATTTGCTTGTTTTATATGGTAGTACTCCTAGACTTTTTAGTTGTAGAAAAATGCTGATGTTTCATTTAAATTTTGTATGTTTTATTTCCTAAAATTATGAAATATTTTATATATTATAACGTTATAAAGCAGACACAGCAGTTTAAGAAACTATTACCAGTATTTTTGAAGCTCCGTATGGCATTCCATTTTATATCCACTTGCTGTCCCATTTCTGTGCCTCACATAAAACCTGTGTTTTGTTTAGTATCTCAGTATATGGTTTTACCACATACAGTCTCCCTGTATTACTATACTGTTTAATTTTGCTTATTTCTAAACTTAATATAAATGTTATCATGCTTTGTGCGCTTTTCAAGATCCACATTATTGCATGTGGAAGTGTAGTTCTTTTTATTGCTATTCATTAGATGAATATAGTGTTTTTTATCTCCTTTTTTTGATCAACACTTTCTTGATGCATTTTTAGGTGGTATTTTAATGATTCTGTAGAAGTGATGTCTTTATTCAATACTCTCAGAAGTGTAGGTATAAACACATTTGCATCTGTGAAGTGTTTAAAATTACTCTTACGTGCCTACTATAATATTTTTAAAATTTTTAAATTATGATTAATTAACATAGGGTAAAAGTCAGCCTGTTAATGTGTTTTGACAAATACGTACAGATATAGAACCAAGTCAGTGTTTGTAGTTAAAGATAATATGCTTTAATAAGGTAAATAAATAAGTAGGTTGTGAGAAACTTGAATTTTGTGGGTTTTTTGTTTTGGTTTTTTTTTTTTAGGGTACTGGGGATCGAACTCAGGTCCTTGTGCTTGCAAGGCAGGCACCGGAACCACTAAGCTAAATCCCCAGCCCCATGGGAAACTTGAATTTTTATGTCTGGCTCAACTACTGATTTCAGAGATGTTTGTGTTATCTTAATGACAGCTTATGTGATGGCTTATATTTTGTAAATTTGCCAGTTAATTAAATGATTAAAAATTTTGAGGATTTATATAGAGAAAAACACTCAGTTCCTCAAAGACAAGACTGTTGTAAAAATACAAATGTGCAGTTTTAATAAATATTCTTGCCGAAAATAGCAGCAATATAGTTAATCCTTAAATTTATAAGGAAGATTATTGAAGAAATTAGAGGAAAAGTCATCTGTAAGGGAAGGTTGTAAGGGGAGATAAACTATAATTTACACCAAATTATTTTGTAAATAACAGCTCTTTGTCAGTGACTTCCAAGTTGGTAAATTCAGAGAATAATTTTTCAGCCCTTGTCTTATGTAACTAATCATTTGGATCCTTGAAACTCCCACTGGCTTTAATCACACTGTACTATACTTCTCTATCAGCTACCCAGCATTAAATGTTGGATTTCTTCTGGTCAGTATTAAGCCATCTTCTCACTATGCTGTAATGGGCTGAATCGCCATATTTTGATCCACAGTGGATAGGTTATATATCTGTGCTAATGAAACTGATACTTTTAAGAGTATAACAGGTGGAAGTTCTGTGGCCTAGTGATAGAACTGTCTTAATGACATAGCACAGTGTTTTATTCACATTTATGGTAATGCTGATGTAAACCTAGTACTACCAGTTGTAGAAAGGCATCTCACAGTTATGTATGATACATAATACTTGATAATAAATGGACTGTGCTATAGGTTTATTCATTTACTGAATGTACTAATTATTTTAGAATATACTCCTCTGCTTATAAACATAGTTTAGTGGATCCTAGAGTTATAACCAGCCTGACATACGAACAGCTTGGGCTATAACCCTGAATTTTTAGTTTTAACTTACAACCAAAATCTTCAGTTATGACGCAGACGTTGGCCACTTGTGCTTCCAGATGGTCTCAGATACCTATTTAACCCTTGAAGAGTGGTGGAAGGAACATTACAACATCTTTTGTGTGTGGGATTAATTGAGAAATCACGGGCCAATGTCTAAGGACACTGAGATTTGCGTAGAAGAGAGCGTGGCCTAAAATTATACAGGAGTGAGACTACGAAGGCTGTGTCTTTAATGGATCAGTGTGAGTTACAATCAGCCCTTGCAAAGGAACTGAGTTTGTAAATCAAGAGTCCACTGTTTGCTGTGAAACATTATGCCACTTCAGCAGCATTCTCATATATCTTGTGCTTACTGACATCTCTTTACTGCTTCAAGAGGCTGCATTGACCTATATACCTAGAATGATACAAGTATGCTCTGTGTTGTTTGTGTAATAATAAAATCATCTAACAAACACTACATATTCCCATCATTTGGTGCATGGTACAGGTTCATTAATCTGTAAACTTTTTATATGCCAAAAACTCCCCAAATTCATATTTCTGGCCTTTCAGCTTTAGCTGCAAAAAGAACACCTCCACGTAGATATCTCAAAGGATCTCTGATTTCAAGTTACCAGTATCTTTTTCATACTGGTTTCATGTTTACACTCAGATTTTTAATTTTAACTATTAATCTTTGTTTATACCTTGAAATGTAGTTATAGGTACATGGTGAATGGAATCCAGTACAGTACTCTGATGGAACCAAACATAGTGATTGAAAACAGTAGAGTTACTGGGACATGGTAATGCATGCCTGTAATCCAGCTACCTGGGATGCTGAGGCAGGAGGATCACAA